TAGAAACTCGTTTCATATCAATTAATAAATATTTTTATATAAATAAATAAATACTGAAATACTGAAACTCTTTGCATATTTAATATTTTATTTTCTTTAAATATATCCTTGTCTAATTAAATTTGATTTTATTAATAAACTCATAATAAAAGTTAATTTGTGGTAGAGTTTTAGAAAAATTATTTTATTTTTTATATCAATTAATAAATATTTTTTATATTAATAATTTTTGTCTAATTCAATTTTCTTCTATTAAAAAATTCATAATAATAAATAGATAAATAGGTTAATTTAAATTTTATTAGATAGATTTTGGAGTTTGGTAGAGTTTTTTTTTTTTTTTTCTCTTTTTTTGTTTTTTGTTTTTTCTGTTTTTTTGTTTTTTAAAAAAAAACACTTTTCTTATCAATTAATAAATATATTTTTATATAAATAGATACTTAAATACTGAAACTTTTTGCAAATTTAATAGTAGTATAGATAAAAGCTTTTTTTTATATCAATTAATAAATATTTTTTTTTATATAAATAAATAAATACGGAAACACTTTGGTAGAGCTTCTGTATTTTACTCAGAAAATTAGATTTTCTTTTATTAAAAAATTATAATATGTAATACGTGTTAGTATGTTATAGAAAATATTTTTAAACTCTTTTTATATGAATTAATAAATATTTTTATATTTTAATAATTCCTATCTAATTAGATTAGCTTTTATTAAAAAAACTGATAATAAAAGGTAATTTGTGGTAGAGTTTTCGAAAAATTATTTTATTTTTTATATCAGTTAAAAATATTTTTTATATTAATATTTCTTGTCCAATTAGATTTTATTTTATTAAAAAACTTATAATAAATAAATAGGTAATTTGTATTATAGTTTAATATAATCTCTTTTAAAAACTCTTTTTATATTAATTAATAAATATATTTTATTTTAATAATTCTTGTCTAATTAGATTTAGTTTTATTAAAAAAACTCAAAATAAATAGATGAATAGGTAATTTGTGTTAGAGTTTTTTAAAAACTCTTTTAAAACCTCTTTTTGTATCAGTTCATTTTTTATATTAATAATACTTATCGAATTAGGTTTTATTTTATTAAAAAACTCATAATAAATAGATAAATATGTAATTTGTGTTAGAGTTTTATAGAAACTTTGTTGATAGAGTTTTATTGAAAATAAAATAGGTAATTTGTAATAAAGTTTCATAAGAATTATTTTATTTTCTTTAAATATATACTTGTCTAATTAAATTTAATTTTATTAAGAAACTCATAGTAGAGTTTTATAAAAATTATTTTATTTTATATATTAATTAATAAATATTTTTTATATTAATAATTTTTGTCTAATTATATTTTTTTTATTAAAAAATTGATAATAATAAATAAATAAATAGGTTAATTTAAATTTTATTAGGTAGATTTTAGTGTTTTATCATATCATTTAATAAATATTTTTTTATATAAATAAATAAATACGGAAACTCTTTACACATCTAATAATAGTATAGATAAAAACTATTTTTATATCAATTAAAAAATATTTTTTTATATAAATAAATAAATACTAACACTATTTGACAGAGCTTTTGTATTACTCTAGAATACAACTTTTTTTATATCAATTAATAAATATATATTTTTTATATAAATAAATAAATATTGAAACTTTTTGGCACACTTTCTGTATTTTACTCTGGAATTCTAGATTTTTAGAATTCTCAATTTCTGTACTCTTTCCTCCTTCCTCCATGCCTCTATTTATAAGCTTCTTGGATGAATAGGATAATGACATGTGTCCTTCTCTGATAATGACATAATCATAACCGGGCCGGACCGGTTATATTGTGATAATTATCCATAACAAATAACTAAAAATAAGAGTTTTATATAAAATGTGATTGATTTTATTAGGTGATTTTAGAGTTTTATAGAAACTATAATTATCCATAACAAAATAACTAAAAATAAGAGTTTTATATAAAATGTGATTGATTTTATTAAGTAAATTAGATTTTTTTTTTATTAAAAAACTTATAATAAATAAATAAATAGGTAATTTGTGTTAGAGTTTAATATAAACTATTTTAAAAACTTTTTTTGTATCAATTAATAAATATTTTTTATTTTAATAATTCTTGTCTAATTAGGTTTACTTTTATTAAAAAACTCATAATAAATAGATAAATAGGTAATTTGTGTTAGAGTTTTTTAAAAACTCTTTTAAAACCTCTTTTTGTATCAATTAATAAATAATTTTTTATATTAATAATACTTGTCTAATTAGGTTTCCTTTTATGAAAAAACTCATAATAAATTGATAAATAGGTAATTTGTGTTGGAATTTTATAGAAACTCTTTAAATATATCTTTGTTGATAGAGTTTTATTGACAATAAAATAGGTAATTTGTATACAGTTTTATAGAAATTATTTTATTTTCTTTAAATATATACTTATCTAAGTAAATTTAATTTTATTAAGATACTCATAATAAATGCTAATTTGTGGTAGTATTTTATAAAAATTATTTTATTTTATATATCAATTAATAAATATTTTTTATATTAATAAATCTGGTCTAATTAGATGTTTTTTTAATTAAAAAATGGATAATAACAAATAGATAAATAGGTTAATTTAAATTTTATTATGTATATTTTAGTGTTTTAGAGGTTTTTTTTTTTTTTTTTTTTGTAAAAACTCTTTTCATATCATTTAATAAATATTTTTTTATATAAATAAATAAATAGTAAAACTCTTTACACATCTAATAATAGTATTGATAGAGTTTCTATATTTTACTCTGGAATTCAACTATTTTTATATCACTCTGTATTTTACTCTGGAATTCTGGATTTATAGAATTCTCGATTTCTGTACCTCTTTCTACTTCCTCCATACTTGACCAAAAGGATTCTTCCAACGTATCATTTCTGGGTCCAATGGAATTCATAGGTATAGGAAGAAGCCCTATCAAATAGAGATTTTTTCTTTCGACCATATTTTGATTGTTAATACGATATAGAAGGACCGCTACTACAAAGAGTATTACACCCTTGATCGTGAAATATCGATTGCTTGTTGAACCCTGTGAATTGCGTGAAAGTAGGATACTCCAAATTCGGGGGTCAAAGAGTTTTATAAAACGTTCTTGGTGAAAAAAAATGTGAATGAAAGATCCCACTTAATTGAATTGGGTCCATGAATCTAAGAAATAGTGAGAATTCTTGATCTCTCTCAATATCTCTCTCAATTCGAAAATCTTCTATTTACAGGCTTCTTGGATGAATAGTATGATGACATGTGTCCTTTTCTGATAATGACATAATTATAACTGGGTCGGGTCGGTTATATTGTGATAATTGTCTATAAAAATAACTAAAAATAAAAATTTTATATAGGATGTGATTGATTTTATTAGGTAATTTTTAGAGTTTTATAGAAACTATAATTATCCAAAAAAAAATAACTAAAAATAAGAGTTGTATATAGAATGTGATTGATTTTATTAGGTAATTTTTAAAGTTTTATAGAAACTATTTCAATTAATAAATATTTTTTTATATAAATATATAAATGAATAAATACTGAAATACTGAAACACTTTGCATATTTAATAATAGTATAGATTTGTAAAAACTCTTTTCATATCATTTAATAAATATTTTTTTATATAAATAAATAAATACTGAAACTCTTTACACATCTAATAATAGTATAGATAGAAACTCTTTGATAAAGTTTCTGTATTTTACTCTAGAATTCAACTATTTTTACGTTAATTAATAAATATTTTTTTATATAAATATTTTTTTATATAATTAAATAAATACTGAAACTCTTTGGCAGAGCTTCTGTATTTTATTCTGGAATTCATTTATAGAATTCTCAATTTCTGTTCTGATAATGACATAATCATAACTGGGTCGGGCCGGTTATATTGTGATAATTATCTATAAAAATAACTAAAAATAAAAGTTTTATATAGGATGTGATTGATTTTATTAGGTAATTTTTAGAGTTTTATAGAAACTATAATTATCCATAAAAAAATAACTAAAAATAAGAGTTGTATATAGAATGTGATTGATTTTATTATGTAATTTTTAAAGTTTTATAGAAACTATTTTTACAAAAATTATTTTTATATCAATTAATAAATATATTTTTTTATAAATAAATAAATACTGAAATACTGAAACACTTTGCACATTTAATAATAGTATAAATAGATATATTATATGAAATAATCTGTTAAGCTTTTTATAGAATCAATAATTAAATGAATAATAAGGTCGTCCTACTTTGAAATAGAGATGTAAACATAAATTTCTTTCTAACCGTAGTATTATATACACGAGGAGTCTATGATGCAGAGAGAATTTTAGAGAGAGATAGTGGGAGAGAGAGATAATTTGGAATCGTGTGAGAGAATTTTAGAAAGAAAGAGGTGAATTTGAGTCAACTAGAGGTTGTGAAACTGGATTTCTTATATAATGGGTGAAATTCAACCCATCTAAAATGGGTTGAATATAGATCATTCATTTTAACCCATATATTAAAATAGTTCACCCACATCTATTTTAAAGCGTGCGAATATGGGCGAGTTGATGGGTCATAACCCATTTTGCCACCCTGCCACCCCTACTTTTAAGGCATACATAGGCTTTTATTTTTATTTTTTAATATATATATAAGAATGGAAATCGTTAAAATATATTCCGATGATATGTATTAAGGAAAGAAATCGAAAAATTATTTTACAAATATTTTCGATTACCTAATCCTCATTCAATTAGAACTCTTTTATATACGGTATGAAAAGTAATCCAAAAAATAGGACTTCAGTAAAGGAAAGTACACATACCTATCTCATTAGGAAATAATTGCTTTAAAAACTTTGGCTCAAGTGAATATTGAAACAAGCAGAGAGATTGTAGCAGGCACCACAATTTAACGAGAAGGGGAGTAGAAGAAAACTTGAAAGGCCATGGAATTGAAAGCAAATTGCGAGACATGCGAAGAAGCCCAGTCATACCTTCCGGACGATGTCGTTCTAGAAATACTCTTAAAACTGTCAGTCAAGTATTTGTTAAGGTTCCGGTGCGTGTCAAAGTCATGGCGCTCTTTCATCTCCGACCCCCACTTCATCAAAACACACGTCAACGTCCAAAGACACCGGAGACTACTAACTATTTTCCCTCATCGTCTCCGTTCCATAAACCTAGAACCAACCAAGGCAACCACCATTAATAATATTGAAGCACTGAAGATAACTGATATTTTGGATATCGACCACAAGCCTTGTGATGAGTGGTTGAAAATAATTGGTTCTTGTAATGGGTTGGTATGCATAATGTATGACAAGGGTTACAGTTCCCGTCGCTTATATATAGTTAATCCATAGACAAGAGTCTCCAAGAAAGTGCCAGAGTTGGATTTCTTTGATCGGAGAACTCCTTATATATATGGATTTGGCTATGATCACACCGTTGATGATTACAAACTGTTGAAAGCAGACAAAGACAACGTACACATATATTCACTCAAAACCAATTCTTGGAAGAAGGCTCAGTCACGTTTTCCTCGCGATTACTACAAACCTATTGGGACACCTATTGGGACATCTCTGAACGGAGCCATCCATTGGGTTTGTATTGACCTAGAGCAGCTGCAGCAGCCGCCGCCATTAGTGATCGTTGGTTTCAGTTTGGCTGACGAGAAATTATGGAAGAGTAATGTGCCTGTCGGGTTTCCCAGGTTTCCAATCGAATTAGGGGTGTTTAGAGGATGTCTTTGTGTGCTGAGTCGTACTAATAATGGTGATTTTCGGGTGATGTTGGAATATGGCGTGACCCAAACTTGGACTAAAGTTGTGATTGAAACTCCATCTTTTAATACAAAGGATTTGGTTTTGCCGCGCAGCGATGGATTATTGAAGACGGATGATATATTGTTTGGGATGGATTCTGGCAAGTTTGTTTTATGGAATATAAGAGAGAGAACCCGTAGGGATTTAATACGTACAGGAATTCCAGATGCAAGTGGATACAAGTTTTTAAGAATTGGAGGTTATGCGGAGAGTCTCGTATCACCCATTATGGGTGTTTGAACAAAAGAAAAAAGAAAAGAAAATCAAATTATTATTATTGTTTTTATTTATTTATTATTGGATTAAGTGCAAAAAAAAAAAAACCCTCTACTATCGATATAATGCATACACTATTAATTTGGTGCGAATAGATTCTTAGTGGTGTAAAATGACGATAATACCTTCACTTTAGTTGAATAAATTAATAATTATAAATACCAGCCATGTAAAATGACCCTATTGTCCAAATTTGTGTAAAATTATGTTTGTATGGCAGAAGGATAAAATAAATTTCAAATTGTATAAAATAGGGACAACCTAAACTTGAATATGATTAAAACTAAAACCAAACATTCCCCATTCTCCATTACCACCACCCATCACCGTCTAACCCAACCACAATCACCCTCTGCAACAAACTGATCGGAGCGTCAATTCAAACCCCAGACCCACAGTTCGCCACCACCAAACAGAAGCAAAATCCAATCAAAATTAAACAAACTGAGATCAGAATCAGATCCCATACCGAGAATGAGCATAGCATCTGGTAGAGCGCCAAGCATGGGAAGCAAAAGTCCTCCAACAAGACCAGGTCCAAGGAGCTCCAACAAGAGCTCGCTTTCACTGGAGAGGTACGCAGCAGCGAGGAACATCAGGTAACCGTAGACGATTATGAGGAAGAGATTGCCTAGTACAGTGGTCGTGCAGGGTAAGAAGCCGTACGTCTGATCGCAAGACTCGTCGGCAAAGAATCGATTGAGCCGGAGAAACCATCTTGGACACCATTGGAGATGAGATCTGAGGATGGACAACCGGTGATGAATCGGCCATAAGAGAGGTCGCAGAGGATGAGAAAGAGGAGAATAGTTGAGAGGAAGGTGGGAGATTGTCTGTGAGCCATGTTTGAAGCTTTGTTGATGTGTGTCAGAGATGGATATGCATATCTGTATGTGTATATACTATATATATATATATATATATTTTTAGAGTTAATCTTCTCTGGCCATCATCAACGTCACCACCACCGTACCTTCGCCGGAATCGTGACATCTTTATAGTCATCATTATATCGTTTTTGCTGGAGTAGTTGCTGATTCAGTCCTCTTTGCTCACCGATTCAGTCACGCCACTAATAGATGCTCATCGTTTGCTACCTCTTGTTGCATCGTTGTCGTAATATTCATTCTCTGGTCGCCGTTGTGAAGCTCTCGCGTCGCCGCTGCATAATTGAAAAAACAAAATTTTTTTCCCAAATCAACCCATCATCACCTCCAATTAAAAACTAAAACTGCTTTGTTGCTTTTTCCCAACCCACACCAACCCATCATCACCTCCAATTACCCAAACAAAGCTTTTTTGCCCAAATATTCAAACCCAATAATTGTGCACAACTCAAGGCGGCGACGGATTCCCGTAGCCATGGCTGCCGGGAGAGGAAAAACATCAACGACAAAAGCAAAATCCAGAGATATCAATGTTTTAATTAAGGTTGATTTTGTGATTAGTTTGGTTTGATTTGCCAAATCAGGTCCCAAATCAGCGCCAATTCAAAATCTTATAAATTAATCATACAATTTATTTTAGTGGTAAGCCATTGGAATGCTTGGTTGAAAGGAACGATTGAAGAGAAATGGATTAAAAATATTTTGTTCCATTTCGATTTTATCAATTTAATTGATATTAGTATTTTTTCTGAATAACAATAAAAAAAATACACAGCCGAGGTCACCAGAGAAGACATATATGTATGTATGTATATATATATATATATATATATATATATATGTATATATTGTATAACATAACAATAGAGAGAGAGACGAATTAGGTTATATGCACAAATAGGTGAGGGGCACAATGGGAAACAAAAGGGTAAAATGGGGTTTTCAGTTTTACTTTTGTAAAAAGGTGGTCAGAGGGACTAGTTTTGCACCTTTTTTTTTTAATTTTGTGGACTTGCATGCACATTTTCAAAAAGTAGGGACTAGTTTTGCACAAAGTCTATATATCAGGGGGTTTTTTTGCACTTAACCCTTTATTGTTTTTATGGTATGTAATGTAATATAGTTTTATTACCCTAATAATGAATTAGGGAACAATATTTGATTTATACCAATGTGGTGATGGAATTCACCATATGATATCACAATTTATATATAGGATCAGCGTTTCTCTCACATAAATTGAATTCAGTAAATATGAAATTCTGTAAGTAGAAATGCCTTCCTTAACAGAGAATATACCATGGCTCTAAACTCTACCATCCATAAGTATAAATTGAGTAGAAAAAGCACCGTCCATGAATGAAGTAATATCACTGTCCAAAAACAAATAGGCAAATTAAGTACAGCCTTTTCCCATTTAATTGTATGTGTTAGATTTAAAGTACAAGCCTCTATAATAAAAAATAAGGGTTAATTTTGATATAATACTGGCTCTATGAGATTCAGATACTGAATCTAACTATATAACTATAATATATGTAATAGTATATGAACTTTTTTTTACTATGATATTTCTATCTTGCCAGATGTTTACCTACTCGCATGGCTAAAAATCAACCTACAATCCACCCGGGGTGGCACACTCGGAACTTCTTACTATTGGAGAGCTTGTTCCTTATCCATGGCACACTGACTCTATATATAGGCTTTAAATCCTTTATGTCTAATCTTTCAAACTTTTTGTGGATGTAGGAAAGCCACGTCATCTACTCATAATCTAAGTGGCCCACATGAATCATTGCTGCAGAGCAGGAAGGACAAAATCATAAATAAAATTTGAAGATTAGGTCAAGGAATATAGTGATCCAACCATTAATTGTCAATCGACGCGCCCAGAACCTCGATCCGACCAAGTACGAATCGTCGATCGACGGGCCCAAAACCTCGATTTGACTCAAGCACGAATCGTCGATCGACGGGCCTAGAACCTCGATCAGGCCCAAGCATAAATCATTGATCGACGGGCCTAGAACCTCGATCCGACCTAAGCATAAATCATAGATCAACGGGCCCAAAACCTCGATCCGACCAAATTATGAATCATCGATTGACGGGCCAGAACCTCGATCCGACCAAATTCGAATCATCAAGGCCTAAACTAACCAGAACGAAGAGTAAATGGTAAGACGTACTTCGTTGTCAGGGGAAACACAGAAAGGACTTTGGATTGGAGGAAAGAAAACTAGTTAAGTCTTGCAAAGCAAGACCCAATTCGAGGACAAGAGTAAAAGATAACCGGAGTAAAAATGGCTACCGTTATGCTTAATCCTGCCTGGGTCATTAAAGGAGCGTTACACTTATTTAGTAGGTCCTAAAGAATAGGAATTAGGGTGGCATAATCTTAATGATTTTATGAGCCCTACCCTATTCAAAAGGAAGCCCAATAAGTGCTAATAAATCCCCTTCATTGACTTTAGGCTATAAATGGAAGAAGGTCAGAGGCAGGCTTCTCAGATCATCGGTTCCTGGCATTACCTCTCCTACCATTACTCCAATCCCTGCTTTTGGGGCTAGCTTTCTCTCCATTCCTTATCTCTTTTGCTTTCCTCACATTGTTCTGAGTGATATACCCTAGGCTTATTGACTTTTCAACAGTGTCCTAGGAATAAGTATCTATATTTTGGCGACTCCGCTGGGGATATCCTAACAAGAAGATGAATCCAGAAGAGGTCCAGCCACCACGGGTACAAACAGAGGTATCTGGCATTGGGGTTACCAATGCCAGAGCCACCAGTGCCAGATCCCGTTCCTCAAGGTCAAGACACAGGTTTAGCATAGATGCCATCTTAGAAACAATGCAGAACATCAACCATCAATTAATGGCCCGAATGGAGAAGTTCAAGGAAGTCCTTCATGCCTTTAACAAGAGGGTTTCAACTACAACTACCAACCAGGCAAATTTGACCCCGCCTAATCAAATAGCACTCGACGCTGCTAACCAAGCTGACACACATCTCCCTGCACAGAATGAGCAACCCGTCATGACACAACCACCAGTAGGTCTAGGCTACAATACAGATTCACTTTTACAACTTACTCCGGAACCTTACAACCCCACACCATAGACGACTCCTGGAGCTCCTCACACTCTCCCTTCTCGAGGAAAGGAATCTGTGTTTTACTCCCCACCTACCTATGCAAAAGCCAACCTTAAGACACCATTCACCTTCCCTTCCCATTCTTATTCTGCCCCAAAAGAGGTCTTTACGCATTCCGAGGTTCGTGATCTTTTCAAAAAAGGTACCCCAGCCTCTAGGGCTTTAGATTTTGGTAGTGAACCGCCCTAGCCTCGAGCTATCATATAGACCCCTTACCCATAGGGGTATCTGGTTCCAAAGTTTTCGTCGTTCAACGGCAAAATGGGCGATCCTAGGGAGTATGTCATGCATTTCGTCAAAGTATTGGGGCACTTCGGCAATAACCATATGGTTCAACTACGGGAATTCTCTAAATCTTTAACAGATCGCGCATACCGTTGGTATTTCAACCTCGTGCCTGACTCAGTCAGCACATGGGAATAATTGAAAGATTGATTCCTTACCAAATTCTTGCAAGCCGAAGAGTGTGTCACTACTCTCTCTCTCACCAAAGAAACCCAAGAAGAGACTGAGGATATCCTCACCTTCATTAATCGCTTCAGAGATCGAGCAAGTGCATGCTTCGAAAGCAGTAGTGAGATGGATTTGGTTGATATCTATATCCAGGGTATGCTACAAATCTATAAGCTCAATCAAGTCAATCTCAAAATCGTCAGTTTCGGCGAACTTAAGATTGCAGCTAGAAATCTCAAAGACCTTAAGCCCGTCGCTATAAAGTATACAAATCCCAAGTACGATACCCAAAAATTTGAAGCTCCAAAGGTATCCAATCGCCGGCCCACGCCCACGGCGGCTATTAATGATCATCCACAAAAGCAATTCGAGAAAGCTTCAGAGTCTAAGCCTACGAGCGAGGAGCCATCACCATTTCCGATCCATATCGAAGAGGTTAAGAATACACTTGCGTAGTGGGTTAAAA